ATTTTGGGCAACTTCCAGTACTTCTAAATATGCTTGGCCATAATTTCCGATTTCTAACTGTTCATATTTCACTTTATTCATTTATTTAATTATTTTAATGTTCCAAACACCTAATTTATTTTTAATATTTCAATTTGAACGTTTTTATTAATTTATTAATACGTTTTTATTAACGTTTTGTTTAATTTATTTTCGATATTCTACAATTTCAATTCAATTTTTATCTACTCCGTATATTCTGCGAGATTTTGATTTAGCTTCAATTTTATATTTTGAATAAATTTTGAAAGTAAATCAAAATCCAATAATATTTAGTAAAAATGGAGGTGTTACACGGGTATCAAGTTGGCACTGCACTTTCTTAAAAATGTCTTAAAAATGTTTCAACAATAGGCTTTTTCAGGATTTCTTGAGAAGTTCTATGTTTCCCGGTTTCGTTGTAAGGGTTGGTTTGAAAACCAATTGTGAGTAGCGAAGAATCTCTGCTCGCCAAGCAACGCGTTCGTTTACCTTGGCTGCGACGGAATATGCTTTGTCAACGAAGGCGATGAAAATAAATGACCTAACAAAATTCTAGTCCCGGACTTTCTACTACGGTTTAGCGCCATGTTTTTGGTATCGCCTAAAACCGTAGCGTTGTACATCTCCCTACTCGTCTCTGTTGATACTTTCCCTACTATTTGTAATTAGTGCATAACAGCGCCATCTGGTGAAATTTTCTGAACTAACAAAAATGCTCCCCAGGAAAATGCAATTGTAGGAGATAATTTCTCGAATTCTCGTTCCACGCCCTCTAGCTGAATTTTCCGGAAACATTGCGGGTGCTCGACAGCGCCATCTGCCTGAGTTTTCCGAAACCAACAACCAGTGGACATTATAAGATTTTTTTTTCTTGCTCCATAGCTTTTGTATTTAACTTTTTTTTGCATATTATATAAAATAGCTAATATAATCTTTTAATTGCGAACGGAAATTAAACAAACGATAATAATATACGCAATCGATGCTCAATAAAAAAATATACAACGGCCATCACATCAGATTTTCAAAATCGTGCACCATTTCACAGCAAACCGCTAACGTGCATCTTAGCTGACACACTCTGTATACATATATGTATACATATACGTACCATGAATTAATTATTTCGCGTATTTAATTAATTGTTAAATGATCCGACTAATATAACCGGATGTTGACCGCACCGACGTTACGATAATGAGCTGCCCTAATGTTATATTCTTGTAAGCTGACAAATAATAATTAGATGGGTAATAATTAATAGGGATCTAAAAAATTTTCATTAATTATAATCCTACGTGAATGTTAATATGAGTGGCCACAATATCTCGTCTTTAATGATCAGCGAAGCTTTTAAAATTTTACTTTAGGAAAGAATCAGAGCAAAAGTTTACTACGTAGTTAAAGGAGGTTATGTACTCGGGCCTTGCGATGAAAACTAGCATTTCTATATAATTTCTAGCAATGCGTTTAAAACGCTCGACTCACCGCATTATTTTCATTGTGCGACACCCGCAGCAACACGCCAAGGTTTTCTTTCTCTTCCCGACACTCTTTCAAACTTTTCTCAACAGAGCGTTTACATTCCGCCACAGCGACTGTCTGATACTGTAGGATTCGGTTGCATTCTTCTGAAATATCATGAAAGTGGGATATGACGTCAGGCACAGATATCAAGATGTCGCCAAGAATGCACTTTTTTAAAGTCACTTGAAAAAAATCACTATGATCGGTGAGCCGTACTTTATTATTATTTTTTTTAAAATTTATTTCATCACGAATCTGCCTTCGGCAGCTACAATGAGCAAAAGAAAAAAGATCAAAAAAATAAATAAAACGTTTTTTGCTCGCTAACCGTAAATATTTAAAAAGCATCAAAGATATGAAAAAGGCTTCCTGGTTTACGGGGTAATGAATTTATTCGTATTGATCACGTTCTCCCGATCTATTTCGGTCGTGTCGCTACGACGTAAAAGCAAAATATCCTTATTGGAGGGGCGATAAGTTATTTGCTTCTTATTGAATTCGCGAAGGAATTTTCAGGATTCTTAAAGGGACTCGCGAATATTACCCTACGTCAAATTGCGGATGTACGTTTTCACGTCAATTGGCAGCTGAATGGGGAGAAATATTATCTGCGAATATCTTAACTGTACGACAGTATCGTTTCTGTACTGTCTGTTTCGTCTAACATAACCTCACTCGTGGCTTTAACCACTACGACTGTCATACCTCTACCGCGATAAAATCCAATGCGTTAGGTGAAACCGCCTGTATAATCGTAAGGTGGCTATACTGTACATAGATAATCAGTCAGCAATGACTGCTACGTACAGTGAATGCAGAAAAGCCAGTGGCTTCGGTAGAATACAACAAGTGAGTTTCATAAGGTTGTTACAGTTACTTGAAAATTCAGAAATGGCTGACCTACTTGATAAAGTTGCATCTATTCCCAGCAGAGAATGTGAAAAGGTAAGGTAAAAAAAAAAAAAAAGACAATCGAATGGAATGTCAATATACATAAAGCGTAGTCAGTACTCGGAGCATATTTCAACTAAAATTATGTAAATCGTTGCGAAGTCGACGATAAAAAGTTTTAGTAAGTTAAATTGAAAAAAATTACTTATGAAAAGTAGTTCCACCTTGCATTCATGGAAAAATTCATTTTTGAAAATATTCATAAATTTTATTATTTACCTAAAAGTGATATTCGAGTCTGGGCAATTTTACATGAATTTGACATTTCCATGTTCCTCTCTCTGGCAAGTGATCCCTCGTTCCTTAGATTCTCCAGTTCTTGGAGTACTAGACGAAATAATTATTTCTGATTCGGAGTGAAAAGAGTTTACTCTTAAAATATCTTTAAAAAAAAAATAATCTACCGTCCTTCAGACGGCTTGCAGTTTTCACGTTTCTCGATTCCGAAGCACTAGACTCGACTTTTCTTAAGAGCAACTCAGCTTCCAGATTCTTTACTTGATTTTCCAATTCACTCCTTGTGGCTTCGCTCTTCAGGCTCGTCTCTCGCATCAAGTCGAGAATCATCCTGGCGTCCTGGTTTATCGCAGCCATCAATCTGCTCATCACGGACCACTGAGTTTTCTCGAACAAATCGAGCTTCGTGAGTTCCCTGAAGGCAAATACAGGTCGATCTCGAAGAAAATGAAAAAAAGCGTATGGAAAAGAGCGCTATTGAAATAACGTAAGGATAAGATTTGAAAAAAATGATAAAATTAAAAAAAAGAAGCCACCTAAAAGCGTTACCGTTACCGTTCGGCCGCGGCTGTGGAAATTAATTCGTTTTCACGTAAAACCAAATCCATTCCTCTTATCAGTTCGATAATTGTTCTGCCAGCCATAGAGCAACTTTCGCAAGTCCCCAAGGAACCTGAAGATTGAGTAGATTTTGACATTTTTGTAAATGCCATACCGTGCTTCGGTTCGACTTCGGTTTTTGTCTTAAAAAAAAAATGTTAAAAATTTATTCTGCCCTATGGGACTTTAATTAAAAATATAATTACCAAGTTGCGTGATAGCGATTCTGGAATTGTTTTCAAACGAGTCCAAAGCAGATGTATTGCTGTGGAAAGTGTTAGGTTATGTGGTCTTTTGACGTTTTTCATATCCTTCAAGAAATCTTCCACGAATGGATATTTATCCATGAACTCCAGCACGAGACGTAGCACCAGGTGAATTCTGTTGAACATTCGTATCCCGGTGATTGAAAAAGCCTGTTGCCAAATTTTTGGCTATTTTTGCTATTCGTGAAGAAAATTGTAGAAACCTATCGTAAGCCAATTCCAATAGTAAGATGTACATCTCTCCTGCAGTTCCTTTGTGACGTTTTACAATTTCCATAACGTTTACGTTTCTTGCTGACTTGGATGGAAATCGCCAGGATGCGTGATCCTCGCCTCGTCCCAACCAAGAATACATGTCGTTTGCAACAAACGCGAATTCGCGAATGTCAGTCACGATGGACGTTATCAAAGATCTATTTAATTTTGGCATAGCGAATATTTTTATCAATATCGAAATTCGATTTTTAAACTGGAATGACTCGTCGTACTTCTTTATAATACAAAGCGCTAGACTCTCGTGCTTCCTTTTTTCATTCGTATTTATGGTAACAAAAGAAAAGCGTTACGAATAAGACTTTCGATCGAATCCAAAGAGATTGGATTAAATACGCTTTGTTCGTTGACAAAAGAATGATTACAAACTATATATATATTTATATATGGAAATAAAAGACAAATGAAATTTCTTTAAATGTTATTTGACTAAAAATGTAAATAGAAGGACTTTCGTATAATGGAATTACGAAATTCAAGATAAGGATAATTCTTAGATAATAAACGTAAACATCTAACATTCTCAATTTCCTTTCTTTCTTTCTTTCTCTTCGTCACTTTCTTTACAAAACAATAGTATACAGATATTTCTATAATAAATTCCATTTGTGATCATTCGCGTTTACGTTATTTACAGAAATATAGATTAGTGAGTTCGTTTCGTGCTGTTTCTCACTTTCATTCATTATTATAATTATTAATAATTATCATTATCAATATTTTTGCTACCGGTAACCTGGATCCATAGCAAATTCTCTTCGGCAAGGAATTATCACTGTGAATATTTGAGTCCAATCGAATATTCATCAGGCGATATTCGCATTGACGTTGCTACTTGATAATTCTTATATACAGCCGTTGGATGCGATAATTGCATTTGCGATTAATTATCGTGATAACGATACTTGCATCTAGTATTTACAAACAGTGACAATAGAGAGAACGTAATATTGGCTGCTACTCGTACAGCCTGGCAATTTTATTTAAACAATAACATCATTTAGTCTAAGCATAAATTAAACGCATTGCTCAACATGATAAAATCTTTTGCTTTTGCATTGTACGAACGAATAATTAAACTATGTAATAAATTAATGCTTGCAGAGATCTTTGCGGTCAGTTAAGGAAATGCATACAGGTTATTCAATTGGAATTAATTGACCGATCCGAATTAGTAGGTGCAGGTTACAATTGAAAGCCTGAAATTATGAAATCTTGTGATTAATCAAATTTAATTATATATACGTATATATATATAGGCTGATTGGGTATTGGCAACGTATACAGTAGTAACTATAAGATTCGTTATTGCTTTATAACATTAAAGTGCAATGACCTTTGTTTTAATTAAATTTTCCAAAATTCTGGTCGCTTGATTAGATACGTGATGGGTCTATTTACTTGTATTCTTACAATAATGTCTTGGCTCCATTTGTTCGAGGAAGCATTTCGGCGGTAAATTGTATTTTGAAATTGTAAATTGACTGATTCAAAGGGAAGAAAAAAAAAAATAAACGAAGATATCGAGTCAAATTTAAAATTCATGGCCTTGACCCGTCTCGCTATAGTTGGCCCCAGAGTGTGTTTCCGATAACTTTTCACAGATATTTATCAAAGCGTACTTCACTCGCTTAACTTAATAATTCGAATGTCCTACTGAATGGAATTCACTTTTTCATCATCGTAATCACATCGATCTAAATCATCTGGAATGATCCGTCCCTCAGAGTTGCAATTTTAATGTCCAGCCAATCGTCCACGATCCATCCCCCAATTACACCCACTGAATAAGAGTAATTAATTATTACCAGCAGCACCGCCATTATTGTGTCTCTCGTGTTAACCTTATTCTCCAAGATTAATTACCCTTCGAGGATTTTATAATAAACACAAGCAACCCTTGGAGGGATCGTTGAACGACAGCTATTTACGTTATTCGTTGCAAGACATCCGGGCACATTTTGATTACAGAATTTTAATTAAACATTAATTTCACGCCCTTACGATCCACTCACCCCAATTACACACGCTTACAATTATAATAATAATAATATCCACGGAGCTCAATTGAATCCTCGAAACACGGTATAAACGCTATGTCGGTACAGTCCATTGCATAAATATAATTATACAACCCCCCGAACATCAAACTTATAAATTTTTCTTTATAACAAACACATACTATATACACCTTTCAACATGATAAATTATACGTATCACACACGTTATATTCGTCATCGACCCAAGCAGGATGTCAGCGAAACCGCAAACCATTGTGTCATTAGTCCAATGACAAGGGCTATTATTATCGGTGACGTCACCGCAACACCGGTCATTAACTTTTCACCAGGATATCCAGCAGCAGTCCAAAGATCAAAAGTGGAATGATAGCTGATTGGTTGACCCACGTGCTTAGAGGGTTGCAGCCAGACTTTGTCGGGGTGTTTCTGGCTTGGTCGTTCATTACGTCACTGGATATGGCTGCGCTGTTCGGTTCAGCCGAAGGGCAGCTTATGGGAGTAATCGTGTCGTTCATTGCGGATTCCCTTGAGCAGCGACTAGCATGATGCGCCAAACAGGCCACGTAGGATATGGCGTGGGGTATGTAGCTTTGATCGACACTTCCGGAGAACAGGGTCATCGCCAGAGGTCCAATCGCAAAAACGGGTACATCCTCACCACCGTGTGTCGCCCATGCACGGGGAACCCCCGCAGTCTGTAAGAAATTAGGAGTGATAATAATTCTCATGGTTCGCATGGTGCGACAAGTGCCAGAGAACGCGGGGATGAATTCACCATGGTGAATTTCAGGGTTTGGGAACGAGCAGGAGAGACACGTGCGAAAGCAATGGGTTCTTGGAAAAGGACGTGGAGGAAAGAATTATTTTATCCCTGTTTTTTTTTTTTGCCGAAACTTCGATTTTTGGTCAAACTCACAAATTATCAGACAACGGGAGGAAAGGTGGGATCCGATAGGACGAATTCTTAGGATTACT